CATGGTCAGGCATGTGGGAATCCAGCGCCCTTAACCACCATGCTACCTGCTGGCCTTGAAACATTTAAAATTTTAAACAACCAGTCTGTCTTTGGCTCAGTTTCAGTTTATAGGGTACCTGTTAGTTTTTTTGTTTGTTTTGTTTTGTTTTTGAGAGGTTTTCGCTATAGGGCTCATGCGCTCGCCAGACAGACAGAGAGAGACAGAGAGACAGAGAGTGAGAAATCACCCCCCGGGGGGATGGCCACGTCGCAATCCCTTCTCCTCCATTCTCCTCTCGGGATCATGGGCACGCACGAACATGCGCCCGGCGTGAGTTTTAAGCCACCAGGTCTGGGACGCGAACCGCGGTCGACTACGTGGGAGTCCCGTGACATAGCCATTACGCTAACTGCTGGTTCCCTAGGGTGCCTGTTTGCAGCCCAGCTCCCTGCTAGGGGCGAGTAGGCAATGGTGCATGCTTGCTGAGTGAGGGGCAATAAGTGAGTGGCCAGGGGTAGGAAGCTGGGCACAGGAAGGTCTCAGCACCGGTCAGCTCAGGAGTGAGTGTGGAGCCCAAGGCAAGCCCTCTGAGGATGCCACATACCTGGATTGTTGCCACCGAGGAGAAGGCCGGCAGCACAGCCAGCCTAGCTGAGCGGTGCTGGAGGGGTACACACCTGAGACCCAGCATTGCTGCCTGGATGGGGAGACTGTCTCTTCTGTGCCCAGGGGTGGGCGTTACGGAGACTAAATCCAAGTCTTTCGGTAGGTCAGCTGGGGTTTGTACCTCATGTCCCAGGCCAGTGGCAAGGGAAAGCAGGTCCCTACTACTGGAGAAAGCCACTTGGCACCCCTGATGCTGCTCAGGAAGGACCAAGAAGTTCAGGTACCACAGTAGGCTCCCCTCCCTCTCACCCACCCTGCCCACGGCAGTGCAGGTCACTCCGCTGCCTGTTTCCCAGGCAATCTTTCTAAAAATTACTTCTTTTAATTAAAAAAAAAAAAAAAAGGTTATTTACTTTTTTCCTTGTGAGAGGGAAATAAAAAGAGAGAGAAAGAGGCCCCTCAAAAGAATCTCCACCCTGTGATCCCACCGCTAGCCCCAGCCAGCCACACTCACGGGCAGTGGGTGTGTGCACCCTGCACACAAAGGAAGATCTTGGGACACGAACCCAGCACCTTCCCATGTGAAGCACGGCAGAGCGCTGAGTTACTGCTGAGCCACCACGGCTGGCCCATCAGTAAACCTTAACGCTGGGGATACGTCCGTGTGTAAACTTCCTCATTTCTGTCAGTTTGTGAGGGGGCCCTTTCTCTCCCAGCCTTCCACGATCCTGTAGCAGGCGTTGTTCTCAAGAGCAGTTAGAGACAGGACAGTCACAGAACCTGACAACCAACCACCCAACCCAAGGCTTCCCATGGAATCAGATTCGCTTCTGGAGCTTTCCTGCAGCCAGCTGCATCCCTGGGGGAGGAGCAAATGCGCGACCGAAGGCCTTAGGCCCTTGCTCTGAGTCAGAAATGGCAAATGATCATCATGTACTGTGTTCGTGCTTTGGAAGCCCACACTGTTCCCCGCGTGAGGTCCAACTATTACATGCTAATGAGAACTTACAAGAAAATTGATTGAAAAACAATGTCCAGGGCCAGCAAGTGGTGCAGTGGCTAAGGCACTGGATTCCCACCTGGCTGACTGCAGTTCAAGTCCTGGACCTGGTGGCTTGAAACTCACACCGGGTATGTGTGTGCGCATGTCTAAAATCTAAGAGGAAAATGGAGGAGAAGGGATTGTGGCATAGCCATCCCCCTGGAGGGTGATTTTTCACCTTCTCTCTCTGTATCTCTGTCTCTGGGGAGTGCATGCATCCTATAGCAAAAATCTCTCTCTAAAGTGTCCAAATCTTGGGACCAGCAATTAGCGTAATGGCTATGCCACTGGACTCCCATGTAGTTGACTGTGGTTCGAGTCCCGGACCCAGTGGCTTAAATCTCACACCAGGCGTGTGTGCATGTGTGCCCATGATCCCGAGAGGAGAATGGAGGAGAAGGTATTGCGGTCCCTGGGGGGGGGGGGTGGTTTCTTGCTCTCTGTCTCTCTGTCTCTCTCTGTCTCTGGCGAGTGCTCCCAGTTGGGAAGAAAAAGTGCCTCCTGGGTTCCAGTGTGTCCACAAGGAGCTCGCAGAGGTCATGAGGCTGATGTAACAGGTGGGCGATGGACGTTCCAAAGGTTTGTCGCTGGCCCTAGGTCACGCGGTTGCTAAAAGGCATAGGCAAGCGGAGGCCTAGGTCGGCCAGGCTCTCAGGCCGGGCTTTTTTCTCTCTACCACGACTGCTTTTCTCTTGAAGGCCTGAGCCAAGGGGCAAGAACTCCGTCTCCATTTCCCTGAGGTCAGGAGCAGGGGTTGCTATGACAACAGAAGGGGCTGTGGCTGGGACACCGAGGACCCTGGGTTCCCCGAGAGGCACCCGGAGCCCAAGTCTTCTCTGTCTTTTCCAGGCGCAAGCAGGAAAGAGCGAGAAGCAGGCTGGAAGCAGCCTGGCATAGTCCACATTCTCCAGGTTGCTGTGCCCAGGAGGCCCCCCCATGGGAGGGGACAGAGGCAGGGGACTGCAGGCAGCTGTGTTGATGCTGCTGAGAGTGAGGGGTTATGACCTGAGGGTTTGTTTGAAAACCTGCATAAACATCTTCTATCAGAGGGAGAGCTTATGCTCCTTAGCCAAACAAGTTGTTGCAGATGATGTATTGTGAAGGGATTTGTTAAGTCTGAGCGGGGCCATAAACTCTCCCCTAACCCAGACCGCTGGCTGCCATGATGGGGGAAGGCATCACCTCTGGGCAGAGAATCCCAGTTTGTGTCTCCCCTTTTGGCTTCGTCTTGACTGAAAGAAGCAGATGCTTCCCGTGGTTGCCCCTCTTGTCCCGAAGCAGGAGCTGGGGCCTGGGCCCACCCACATCCCCACCCTTCCACCTCCTCTGCTAGGGGCTGAAGGACAGGACGGTGCTCCTGTCCCTGGCCTGGAGCCTGTGCGGCTATGGAGTCTAAAGAGAGAGGAAAAGGGGGCTGGGGGTGCGGGTGGGAGACGGAACGGGGCAGTCATCCCCACTGCAGCAACTGGCAAGCCACCCTTTAGGGTGCTCTCCTGGAAGTCCTTGTCACTCTCAGAGCTTCCTTCCGTCACACCCCACCCCAATCCATCAAGAAATCCAGAGCCTGGCCACTCTCCCCATCTCACGGTGACCACCTCTTGTAGGCCGTACCATTGCTCCCACCTAACGGGTCCCCTTGCGTCTGCTCTGTCCCTTCGCAGTCACACGATGAGCACCACAGCTATGAAGGAGAGCATGGCAGCCCTCCAGGACGGAGGGTCACCCAGCAGGACCCAGGCATGATAGCCGCCTGATCCCCTAGAGTTGAAGGCCAAGGCTTGTGTCAGCTGGGAGAGTCTGCAGCACCTGAAACTCTTTCGATGAACTCCTCCCCGCTCTCCCTGCTCCACCCACCGGCCTCAGATATGAAGGCGAAGGCGCCTTCGGGCATTTCCCTCAGCCAGCCCCTTTGCCTGGAACTCTCCCCTCTGGGGCTGCCCGCTCCTTCCCATGTCTTCGGCCTTAGATCAAATGCTGCCTGTCTGGAACCAGCAGTTGGCGTAATGGCTAAGTTGCTGGACTCCCATGTAGTCGACCACGGTTTGAGTCCTGGATCCGGTAGCTTAAACTCACACCAGGCAAAAAAACCCCCCCAAAAAAAAAAAAAAAAAGATATCGAGAGGAGAATGGAGGAAAAGGGATTGTGGCGTGGCCATCCTCCCTGGGGGGTGATTTCTCCCTCTCTGTCTCTGTCTTTCTGGTGAGCGCACGTGCCCTATAGCAAAAACCTCTCCAAAAGAAAAAAAAAATGCTGCCAATTTCCGAAGTCCATTGTTTTTGTCTGTCTCTCCCCGCTAGAACGGAAGCTCCTGAGAGCAGGTTCTTCATTCACGGGTGTTCCCAACCTCGAGGGAAGTATCTCCCATGTAGCAGATGCTCAGTAATTATTTAGAAGACTCAGCTGTGGTCATGCCAGTAGGAGGGCACCTCTGGATGAGGTGGGATGCTTGGGTTTGGTTCCCAGACCAACCAAAACAGGATGGGTATGGTAGCTTCTGCCTGTGGTCCTAGCTAACTGGGAGGCTGGGACAGACGATCACAATGGCAAGGCCCAGTGAGAAATGCCTGTCTCTTTCTCCCTCCTCCTCTCATTCTCTCGTTCATATATACATATATATATATATATATATGTGTGTGTGTGTGTGTGTAAATTTATAAAATGAATGGACGAATGAGAGAAGGAATGACAGTGGCCCCAGAACTGGAAGGGAGGCAGTGGACTGGACTGGGACCCACAGACACAGAAAGTCACCAGGGGAAAGGAGCAGGGGCAGGGCCCTGTAGCATGGTACCCGCCTGGGCATCAATGCCCAGCCGCATTTTGTCTCTGCCAAGTCATGAGGAGTTGGTTCTCTGGATCTGTGGCCGAGGCACCCGGGGATCCAGTCAACCGTGGATAGAAAAGGTGTCATCTCAGGCGTATGCTCTGTAGCTAGGCTTACGACAGCCTGTCTGCAACAGACATGCACAGGCGAATTGTAATCCCTAAAACAATACCGCATAGTGACCTTTGCGTCGCATTTACAGTGTGTTTGATAGTATGAGTAATCTAAAGAAGACTTCAGAGTATCCAGATGTGTGTAGACTGCAAGCAAATAATTCACCATTTTATAGATGGGGCTGAGCATCTGTGGATTCCGGGACCCATGTGGGGTCCTGGTACAATCCCTTGTGGATGCTGAGGGACGCCTGTAATTACCAATCCCAAGAGCCTGGGAGGAACACGGAGACATTTGTACAGAGTTGAATGTGGCCGCCCTCCGGGATAGAGTGTCGCCCGGCAGGGCCCAGTGTCTGCCCGGTTTATTTACAGATGAAGCTAAGCATCTCAAGTGCACACGCACTGCCGGAGGGACAAAACGAGATCGCGTTTAACTTCTTGAAAACTCTTTATAATAATGCAGGACAATTATATATAGCAAACGCCTTCAAAATTTAAACTCTTTAAACATTGACTTCTTCAGCATTAATACACACGAATGCTATTACAGGGGGTGAGGGGTGGGGGAGGGCAGGTTACAGCGTCCATAGGGGTCAGAGTTTCAACAGTGTTACTTATAAATTATATTACATCGATTTTATTTACTGATCTAGGCAGCCAGAGGATGGGAGGATATACAATGTGGGGTAAACACATTCATACCGGGGCGAGGAATGCTGGCAGAAGACACGGCTTTTTAACATTAAAAATGTATAAAGTATTTAGCAAAAGTTACAGAAAACAGACCAAACAAGCCAGTTTATTTTGTTAGAAAATTCCACGTTCATGGGGTTTGCTGATGTGCCCGTGTCTGTGGAGGGGCTGCCTCTGGTCATCTCTCCTAAGGGAAGGGAAGAGATGTGAATTTGGGGCCCCTGTCACCAAGGATAGCTGGTGTCCCTTTGAATGTCTGTCCCTGGGTCCACATGGTCTCCTGGAAGCCACGACTCCCAAAAGCCAGTCTGCTGCAGGTGGTGCTGGAAGGGAAGTGCCCCCACTGGACAAATGATATACACACCCTACAGGGGATGTGACTTCACTTCAGGTGATGGGACAAATGGGGCAGCAGAACCAGACCTGTGCTCTCCCCCTGGCCCAAAGGCATCCCTTTGGGTCCCCATGAGAACATCCCAATGCCCTGACCCTTCATTCACCACTGCAGTCTCATTGTCTCCAACCCAAAGCATCCACGTCCTCAAACACCACACAGGGAGTCTCCAGGGTCATTATCACAACCCCCTCCTCCTAGACACTCCAGCCTCTGGAAGGTTCAGGGAAATGCGCCTTGGGTTTGTCCTCTGTCATGCTCTCACCCTAACCTGCTGCCACAGTTGGCCCCTCACTTGCAGCAAAGCCCCAAGCAGAAATAATTCTCCTACAGATACTGAGAGTCCTCCTTGAAAAAATTCAACCCAGAAGTCTTGGCAGTGTAGAGCCTCAGCTTCCACCTTGGAACCCTGTGGGCTTAGACTTCCCAGCCTGACTTCCACCTGGCCTGGATCTGGGAATGTCTCCGGTTCCCTTGGAGGGGTGTCTGGTGCCTTCTGGGACTCACGTTTCACCACGCAGGGCATGGACACCAGCTGGAGCAGTGCTTACCTTGGGCGATGCACTCAGAGCCTGGCCTGGCTTTTGCTGGGTTTGGTCCTATCTCTGTTGCCATATGCAGAGTGGGCCAGGCTCAAAGGGACCACCAGCTGAGCAAAGCTCCAGCAATGGCAAAGACCACCAGAAGGTGGCCCAATCTCCATGCCTGTCCTGGCTCCTGGGAATAGACTCCAAGATACACTATCAAAGATTAGATGAGACCCAAAAGGTAATGACTTAGCTTCCTCTGGGGGTCCTAGGAGGAAGTACCCCATTCTTAACAGCTCATGAAACTCTTCATTTTAGCTCCACTTAAGTCTAAGTGGAGAAGTGCCAGGGCATGGCTCTCACAGGATCTTAGGCAACTCTATTTATGATGGTGCAGATAAGACCAAGATGAGGCATGACCACATGTCTAGGGTGTAAAATTGGAAGTGAGAAGGAAGGATCAATTCAAGAAGTCTGCAAGCCCATCTAGAATAAAGCATTCTAAGTTTGCAGATGAAGCAACAAATCCAGGAAAGGGTCATGGTGAGCTGAAGGGTCAGCCCCAGCCTTCTGGTCCATAAAACTTCTACTTGTCATTCACTGTTCCCAGTTTCCAGAAGGGAGTGGATCTATTGGCTGAGATGCAGAAGTGAAGGAAAGAGAGACCCTGCCGTCCTTTTGACCCCAATCTCTGGCTACTCTCTGGCCCACTGAACACCTAACATGAACTGAAAAAGAGAGTGTGAGTCCCAAGAAACACTTGTGGGTACAGCTGACATCTGGAGAAGGAGTTGGGGAGCCACTAGTAGGTGGCAAGTTAGAAGTGATCATGAAAACAAGTTGAATACCTGGGAGTGGGAACATCCAAGGCAAAAGACTCATGTTAAAAATAAAGAATGGATGTGGTATGCCCATGCAATGGAATACTACTTGGCAATGAAAAAGGACACACACACACACACACACACACACACACACACACACACACACACACACACATCATCATCATCATCATCATCATCATCATCATGGGTGACTCAAAAGTCTACACCACTCTGACCCCACCTCCATGACATTCTAGTAAAGGCAAAACTATAGGGTCAGAAAATTGATCAGGGTTACCAGGGGTGGATGGTGGGAAGATGGCATTGACTGAAAAGGAGCATAAAGTTCTCTGGAGTGATGGAAATATTATGTTGATTTTGGTGCTAGTTACAAGACTGTAAAAGTTTGTTGAAATTCATAGAACTGTAACTTCTAAAGAGTGAATTTTACGGAATGCCAACAATACCTCATCGACTCTGGAAAAAAGGTGGCGGCAGGGGGCCTTGCAGGGAAGGACTCGGGGGACAGGATGGTGTCCCAGCTAAGCAATCAGGCTGCTCATCTGTGCCCCATTTAGCATTTATAAAGTGCTCTTCCCTACCTGCGTGATCATGAGCAGGTCTTCAGGCGCCTGTTTAAACTCCTTGTCAAGGCTACTCACAGTTGGAAGTAAAATGACCTACACAAGCCAAGGTCTGGGATGGCCTCTTAATTTTATGGCTTGTATTTCCAAGAAATGGGTTTTGGCTCAGCCAAAGCTTTTATGTATCCATCCACTAATCCACTAATTGATTGGTTTTCACCAAGGGAATAGCAACAAACTCCTGGCTGGTGAGCTTGTGCTGTTCCTGTTTGCTTCAGCCATTTATCTGCTCTGACAAGCAGAGCAGAACTTCTCATTGCAGAAATCCTCCTTGGTCAACAGGGTGTTGGGTGGAGGTGGGGAGGAGGCCAGGTAGTTCCAGTGACAGCATCTCAGGGCCGCCGTTCACATGACTCACATGGCCCCAGCGTCGCAGTCAGTACTGATCAAAAGCACTAGACCAAACAAAGGGTAGCGAGTGGCCTTTCCTGCAGGTTGACATGGCGACTGACTCATTCTTGAACACCACTGTCTTAGAGGGTTTTCTGTCTTGTGTTAAAGCAGGTGTTCAGAGACAAACCTGTTCTCAGAAACTGAACCATGGACGTTTTCAAAAAGAGCCCACACTCACTTCCCCCCATGAACAAACCCTACCAAATCCACTCATTACCTAAGCACCAAAACGTAAACACAAACGGCAACCTGGGTAGTGTCCTTGCCACTCCGAAGTACACTTTGAGATGATTCTAGACTTCATCCTAACAGTGATTTCACCCAGAGGAGGCGGCTGCTAGTAAGAACAAGGGGCCTGGACTCTCGGCTCCAGCCCTGCTGTGGTTTCCCTGTGTCATTTCACAGTCCTCACTCGCTGTCCTGGGCCTTCACTCATCCTATGTGTAAGGCGAGGAGAGTTTAAAAGACCAACAAAAAACAGTCCTGTACTTGGGAGTCTGGACATGGGCTGTGAAGGTCTGCTGACCAGGTCATGAAGGTCTTATCCTGTGTCCCTTCTATGCACTAGGTTAACACTTCATGTTGAAGTTCCCACTATAATTAAACAATTGCAGTGGGTAGATGTGGAAAGGGTGCAATATCCTTATTTTCCAGAAAGGTCTAAACAGCTCCCTGTCTACGTGGGGAATAGAGGGGGCAGGATAGTGCTTACCTTACATGCAACTACAGTCCCGCCACTCAATGCCTGGCTAGTCCTAAGCATCTGCTGAATAAATGAATGAGTGAATGAATGAATGAATACAGCAAATCAGCACAACAGACAGGACCTCTGAAAGCCTAAATTCTGCAGCATACCTGCAGGTGCATGAGCATGCTGAGGTTGCTGGCCCATGGGGCCCTTGGGAAAGAGAGACGTCTACACAAAACAAGAGATTGTAGGCTTCCCTGATGACTGGGCCTTATCTTGTCCTCAGATTAGATCTTAGCACGTTGCCTGGCCTCAAGTAAGTGTCTGATAAAGGAATAAGAAGAAAAAAAAGGGTAAAGGAATTTTTTTAAGAGGCTAAGGAGAAGGAGGTGAGGAGATGAGGTCATGAAAACGATCTCAGAAAACTGACTAGCCCAGATGGGGCTAACTTGGTCCTGGAAGAGGCAAGAAAACTCACTCCATCCCAGGGGTGAATGGAGGGCTCTGGGATCCTCACATGAGAATAAGAACACACAGTCAATGAGCCACCTGCATGTGATGTATCTGTGTTAGTAACAAGGCTACTGGTTTGAATGCTTGAGAACCATCCACAAATCAGTTTACTGAGCCACGAAGCAATTCTCACTAGCACCCATTTTTACTAAGGAAACCAAGAAACAATCTCCTAAAATTGCTAACTGCTGCCATGGTCCTACCCCAGATCTGGAAGGACAACTCTTCACCCAGGGATAGATTCTACCAGGTTGACCTTCATGGCGGCAAAGGTTTTCATGCTGGTCTTTTTGGTGGAGATGTTTCAATAAGAAGAGACCAAGTTTGGCTCGCTTTAGTAATATTAGGGCCTCTTTCCAATATAAACCATGAGAGAGCAATTCCGACTCAACAAAAGAGGTACTAAAAGATCCAAGATGAAAGAGTCATCCGGGATGAGCACGTGAGACTAAGAGAAAGCCCAGGGAATTGTGCTCATAGAATTCTGCCCTCGTGGGAGATATACAGGACGATTCCAAAGTAACCAATGGGAAAGTCAAGGAAGATGGATTCTTGGGCCATGGGTTCCCGGCTGGAATCTGCCCCTCATTCGCTGGGTGACTTCCTGCAGGCTCTTCTCTCCTGCCAGCACCCTCCCTGCCATCCCAGGCTGATTCTCTGAGATGATGAGGTGGGATCCACAGGAAGCAATGAAGCTTCCCAAGTCACACCCAACCTAGACTTTCCTAGGAACTGGAAGATGGAGACAGTGGGGAGAGGTAGAGGGCCCTGGGACATGTAGAAGGAGCTGAGGCCAAGGGGGTGGGGCAGGACAACCTACTGTGGCCATAAGAGAGTCTGTGTACCTCAGTCCTGGCAGTCTAGGCAGTCCCAGCACCACAAGCAGATGGAGCCATCTGGGAGACAACAGAGACTTGCCTGATCCATCTCCCACATAGGACTGACCCAGGTCAGTAGAGCCCACGTTGGGAAGCCCAGGGTGGCCACCCCCCCCCAACACACACACACACACAGACCCAGCTGGCCCTCAGTGCCTGGCTGGCCTTGGAGATGAGCTGTCATTTCCATCCTGAAGCCTCTGAATGTTTGTGCAGTAGACCCAGTCCTGAGAACTTTGGAATGCTTCCTTCAATAAGCCTGGGAAGGAGTGGAGTGGGGGGGGGGGTAGGGCTGGGGGTTTCCTTGGGGAAGCAGTCGAGGGCTGGGGGATTGGGACTCCCAAGGAGACTTTATAGACAATGCCTGATCTGATGGGAAACGTGAGTCCATGCTCGGACTTGGGGCTAATTTGCCGAATGAGGTAGTTCCATCCTGATCTCCCCAGGCAGGGTTGATATGGGAAGACAGGAGTCAGGCTTCTTCCCAAGACACCTGGTGATGCAAAGTGGCCGAGAAAAGCCAGCTGCGGGCTCCCAGAACGCAACGGGAAAACAAAAAGGGAGTGTTGCAAAGGATTCTGGGTGAGGACTATGGGTCGAACGCAACTTCTAGCCACGGTTCTGATCCTGCTGCTTGGCTTAGAGACAGAGACCTCCCTCCCCTGAACCTACAAAGCTCTACAGACAAGGAGCCAGCTGGAAAAAGGGCCTTGGGGCTTCCAGGGGCACAAGCGTGTGGCAGCAACCCCCCTATGGAGCTCAGCAGGGACCGCCAAGTTCCAGCTTCAGCTTGTTCTCAGAGCTGCAAGCACAACATGGGAGTTGGGGGGCTTCGGCCTTGGAGACAAGGGCAAGGCTGCGGGTCCGTCTTCTTGGCCTGGGAATATGGGGGAGCCCCCAGCTGGGTTGCCTGGATTGCCCCTTGGGAATCACCAGTGCTCTCCCCACTCTTCAGGATGCCAGGAGTGTGGGTGGGAGGGCAGCTCCACTCAGCAACAGCCCCCCAATGGGAGCCGCCACCTCCGCTCTGTGGAACCCCCCAGTCCCTGTCCTCGGCAGAACCCCTGGGGCCACACATGCCCGCTAGATCTCCATGTCCACGGGGCGGATGTTGCCCGTCTTGTGCTCTCGGACCCACAGCTCTCTGTCTTTGGCTGGGTCCACTTTCCGGAGCAGCTGGTCCACAGGCTCGACTGTCTGCAAGGGACGGAGAAGGGGGGCACTGTCAGTTGGTGCTAGCTGGGGTGTCTCCTCCTAGCCATGCTGCTTTCACCTTAGTGCCTCATGGAGCAGCCTCTGGAGAAAGTTCTTGGCCTCAGGGGAGACCCATTTGAGGTGGTGAGGGCCATGAGAGAGAAGAGCCCAGAAGGGGACCCAAAAGTGCTCCTGGCCCTGCCGACCCCAACCCTGGATGAGGGCAGCTGGCCTTACAGGCTCGTGGTCCATGACCTCATCCTCTATGTGTGACCTCCAGAAAACAGGACGGTTGGAACTTTAGATACTTTGGATATTTCTGGAAGTTCCTGTTTGGTTTTCGGAAATTCACCAGGAGAGGCAATCGCCTCTCCAGCTATTTTAACTGGAATGGGCGTCCTTCTCCTCTAGGTAACAGGCTGTGTGCTAACCTAAGTCACACACCAGGGGTGACTTCGCGTGCTTGTCCAATGTTTCCAGGACACGCGAGTCCAATCCAGGAGGCCGCACAGGCTGGAGCACCTGCCTGGGGTCCCCCTTCAGGACAGATGCACGGCAGTGGCCACTTGAAGGGCCGGCACAGTGTCAGGAGGCTCTCCCCTGCCCTGTGTCCCCCGGGGGCCCCGCCGGGTGGGGAACTCACGCTTTGGTTGAACATGTCCGTCTCGTGCCGCAGCTGCGTGTACTGGCACAGGTGCTGCCGGATCATCTCCACCCTCTCCACCTCCAGCCGCTCCAGCTCCTGCAGGGGAGGGAAGACCAGCCACCCTGAGCGTGTCCCTCAGTCTGGGGGCCTTCCCACCAAGCAGGCCCCAGGCTACCGCAGACACAAAGCACACGTCACCACCCCATCTAACCTCTGGGGCCCAGCTCCCAGGGGTGAAGGTGACGATGACGCTAGCAGCCGGAATGATTTTATTTCCTGTGTGTCTGCCTTGCCCGGCACAGTGCCTTGAGCTTTACACGCGTGACTTAATGTTCTTCATTATAATTTTAAAAGAGAGGTTCTGAAATGACCCCCATTCTCCAAGTGAGAGCAGTAACGTCCCTCGCCCACAGCGACCCAGAATGAGGGGGTACAGGATTTGAACCAGGGTATGTGGTGCGCTTCATTGTGATTCTGCACCGATGGAGTTCCAGCCCTCGTCTCCTGATAGGGTGGAGCAACGGGACTCAGGTGGGAGCTTCCGAGACTCAAACCCTTGGGGCTTTGTTTCAGACCAGCCTCTACTCCTCGGCCGAACCCTGGTGCTCAGAGGCTGAGCAGAGGCCAGGCCCAGGGAGGCACAGAGGGCCAGGAATAGAGCGGACACCGTCAGAGGGTAGAATGGAAAGCGTTTGCCCTTTGGTTTCTAGATGGTTCGTGTCTTTGGAATTTAGGGGATCAGGCGGTTAGTCTGTGTACAACTAGGTCACCGCCCAGGTGATTAACTCGGAAGGGGGATAAAGCAGGGGGCTTAATTAGGAGATTAAACAGGAGGAAAACTAGGTCAGCGTCCCTGGTGGAGCTTCTAATCTGCTCTGGTGGGCTGTCACCTGGGAAGGCAGCCGGTGAGTCCTGCTGAGTGGACGGGGGTGGCTTCACACAGTGGGCTGAGCCGATGAGCACCGGGCACCCTCTCACCTGGTCCTACGGCCCAGCTACTACCGCACTTCACTGGCCCGCTCGGGCAGGCACTGGCCAGCAAGAACATGCTGCCCCTCTACCGGAAATACTCAGGAAAGCACCAGAGGGCCCCGCTGCCCTCTCCCCACACCTCTCTCATTCCCTGCACAGATGCCCCAACCTCACCCGTTCATAGACATCACAAGGGATCTCTTAGTAAGGGATCGACTGCCAAGGACCTGCAACTCTTGGGTGGGGGTATGTGCGGTGTGGAGGAGGGGGTGGTCACCCTTCCTATACCTTGGCTGTTTGACTTAAAGGGACCACTTTCCCCACGGTTGTGGGATTGCTGAGCTGACCCTGAGGACACAGCGATACCCAGCCTTGCCTGCATTCACAAATCCAGGAAGTGCCAGAGCAGGAGCTTGAATCCACCTGGATTGGTGGACTGAGGCCTTGATGCCAACACTGGGGTAGATGGAATGACCATCTCGATAGTCACCTCTACTCCCTGTCCCCAGTGCCCACTAACATCTGCTCAGGACTTCCTGGGCATCACACCCTGTACCATCATGCCCTGATGTCTCTGGGCACTCACCAACGTGGTGGTCACCATCTCTTCAAACCACTTGGACTGGGCCTGGTTGTAGAGGTCCACGCAGCGCATGAGGTCGTCTCCTGCAAGAGGTCAACAGTCACCATCATGCTCCATCCATCCTTGTTGTGGCTGCCCTTTCCTCTGCCCAGGCTCATGGTGGTCATCAGAATGTTGGCAGTCAGAAGAATGGGAAAACCAAGCAAAGGAGGGAAGGGGGCAACCCAGCAACGTGGGTTTCTAGGACCCCGACTAAGCCTAAGAAATGCTTCCTCCTCCGAAGGTGGCAGATGGATAAGCGAGCCCAGATTGGTTCAAACACGTGTCACCGACAATGCAGTATCAATTAGAATTAAGAAAGAGAAATCACATCCGTGTGTGTAGGCACACGCAGCAGGCGGTCATTCTAAAGCCCAAATGATGCATCTGATGGGTCCCGGCTCACTCGGTGTCACAGTACGGACACACACTGGAATGCTACATGCCAACTTCAGGAGAGCAGGGACTTCAGGAAACAGAAAGGGTGAGCAGGAGGGAATGACTTCTTCTATAGCATTTGATTTCATCAGAGAAAGATCTCACATAACCGTAACTATTAAATCTTCATGGCTAATATGTTACTTCCTGTAATTATATATATGTTTAAAACATTTACAATTATTGGGTTGTTGAAAAGTGATGATTGATTTCTGCATAGAAAAACAGAAAAAAAAAATCTCACGATTTTTCTGAGAAACCATAAAAAGAAAGCATAACTGCAGGGACCAGCAGATGGCATAATGGTTATTTTGCTGGACTCCCATGTAGTCAATCACGGTTCAAGTCCTGGACCTGGTGGCTTAAACTCACGGCTGGGGTGGGTGAGTGGGGGTGTGTGTATGCCCAAAAATCCTAAGAGGAGAACGGAGAAGAAGGGATAGTGGCATGGCCATACCCTCTGGGGGGTGATCTCTCACTTTCTGTGTCTTTTAGTCTCTCCAGTGAGCACACGTGCCCGACAACAAAATTCTCTCTCTCAAAAAACAAAAACAAAACCAACCAACCAACCAACCAACCAACCAACCAACTGTGAACATCACTGAGTATACCAGCACTCCAGAACCTTGCTATGTAAAATGCTGTCTGGCCCACCGTCACAGGTATCCCCTGGGAGCTGGCTAGAAATGCAGAGGCCCGAGATGGATCTGAGGCCTGCAGATGCAGGACACAGTTCCACATGTCCCTCCAGCACTGCCCACGCACAGCACTGCAGTGCACGGGCTCATCTAAATGTAGCTCCTGACCACCATGGCGACCACCATGGTGTCTAGTGAGAGGAAGGAGTCATGGTCTTTGCTTGTGATGGGAAAAGCTCTTGAGCCAACCCCAAAGTGAGCCGACTTATTCTAGTCGTTCCAGAGTAGATCCTCGTAATCTCGAAGTAGGGTTCAAGTGTAAATTCAAAGCGACTGTTGTAACTATATCACCCTTGCTCATGTGTATTCTCATAGGAAAGTAAAAGGAATCTTGGGGGAGTGATGGCCACATGACCCATGGCCTGGTTCTGCATCCCCCCTCCTTCACCCCATGAGTCTACCACTGGGGGAGCTGAGGCTGCACCCCACAAATGTTAAGCCTTGAGTGGCCGAGCCCAAGTCAGGGGTTTTGTTCATTTTGTTCTTGGTCCTAGGTCAACAATTGGTCCGTGATCACAGGAGACACTGAATTGAGGAAAAGAAAGTGGACTACAAATGCAATTTCATCTAGCGCTCAGGCCTGCCCAAGGGCACGGTCAGGATGTTAGCCTACAAATGTACAGTGTGAGGCGCGGCCTGGTGACGCAGTTGGTAGTGAACTGAGCAGCTGTGCTGGAAGCCACGTGGCTGACCACGGGTTCAGGTCCCCCACCCAGTCGGCCTGAAACAGGCCAGTGCACGCACACCCAGGATCCCAACAAGCTGGTCTGGGGAAGGGGGACTGTGGCACAGCAAAATCTGTCTAGTGTGCTTCTCTCCCTCATGCACGGGCATGTGCTATCACAAACAAAAGAAAGACACTTTAAAAAGTAAAAGAAAAAAATCTTCAATATGAAACTCCCAGGATCTGTCGATCCTGATTTCAAACGCATGCTTCAGGAACTTCCATAGCATCAGGAAACAGAGTAGGCGAAGAAGGGGCAGTTTTCTCTCAGTAGTAGCTCATGGGTTGGAGACTGGACTCTTCCGAACCGTAATGACTGAGAACGTGGGTTCTAGAACGAATGCCTGGGTCACCCTAGCGCCACTCCCTCAGCTGCATGATCTTGGTTGTCACTTAACCTGCCTGTGCCTCAGTGCCAGCCCCTGGAAAAAGGGGATGATCATGATACCTTCTAGCTCTGTGGCAAAGACCTAAATATCAAAACCAAACCAAACCAGGGACCAGCAGTTAGCATAATGGCTATGTCGTTGGACTCCCATGTAGTCGACCGTGGTTCGCATCCTGGACCCGGTGGCTTAAAACTCACGCCGGGCGCATGTGCGTGCATGCCCAAGATCCCGAGAGGAGAATGGAGGAGAAGGGATTGCGGTGTGGCCATCCCCCCTTGGGGGGGGGTGATTTCTCACTTTCTGTCTCTCTCTGTCTCTCTGGCGGGTACACGCGCCCTATGGCAAAAACCTCTCCAAAAAGAAAAAAAAACCCAAACACAGTAACAAAGCCCTTGCCAGTGCAAGGGTAAAGATCTTTGAGACACTCTTGGCCCGAAGATGACATCAAACTCAAATACTAAAGTATCTTGAAAATGAAAGACCAATCAGAACGTGTGGGATATGGCTAGAACACTGGTGTGAGAAAAAATAAATATCTGCTGGGCTGAATATTTCATTACTAAGGAAATAAACACTTGAAACGAAAAATTGTAATTAAATTGTAAGTAAGAAAAACAAAACAAAACATGTGGACCAGCCTGTGACCTGGTTGGTAAGGAGCTGAATCCCATGAGGCTGACTCTGTGGTTCTAGTCCTGGACCTGGCTGCTTGAAGAACATGCCAAGTTGGGTGTGCCCCAAATCCCGAAAGAAGAAACAGAGAAGGGATTGTGGAGTGGCCATGCCTCATGGGGCGTGCGCTTGCTCGCTCGCTCTCTCTCTCTCTCCCCTCCTCCTCCCCTCCCTTCTTTCTCACTCTCTCCAGAGAGCACACACCCTCTGGCGAATTTTAAAAAAAATCATGAAAAGGTGATGCTCTTCTAAGTCAGTCCCAAAACCTTAAGGAGTCCATCCTAAAGGACTTGCTACATAGACAAATGGCAACAAAAAACAGACAAATGAACAGAAAAGAGAAAATTAAAAAAGGCCAAAGAATAACACTAAAAGGTCAGTGGCAACTGAAGAAAAGTATTCGCAACTGAAATGGCAAAGGGTCAATCTCCCTAATATGTAAAGAATCCATAACCCGTCATTCAACGAAAAAACGGGGAGAAGTTATGAGTTAACCAGTTCACAGAAAAACATCAGAAGTGATTTGTAAGTGTTTTTAAATGCTCAACCAACCATGCATTTTTATAGAGAAATGCATTTTCGTATTTTTATGCAAATTGGAAACGAAGTATTTCTCCCAGATCCCAGTGATTTCAAATCTTGGTAACACACAAAGCTGACAAGCACTCAGGGGACCTTGATAGATGCTATTGGTGGGTACCCTCTCGGTTTTTCTTCTTCTCCTTCTTCTTCTTTTTTTGGGGGGGAGAGGTTTTTGCTATAGAGCGCATGCACTCACCAGAAAGTCAGAGACAGAGAGACAGAAAGCCAGAAATCCCCCCCAGGGGGGATGGCCATGCCGCAATCCCTTCTCCTCCATTCTCCTCTCGGGATCTTGGGCACGCACGCACATGTGCCTGTTGCGAGTTTAAGCCACTGGGCCCGGGACTCAAACCCCAGTCGACTACATGGGAGTCCAGCGATGTGGCCATTACGCCATCTGCTGGTCCTGGTGAATACCCTTTCTGGAAAGCGATTTGGAAAAAGGCATCAAAATGAATGAAACTGGGGGCTGGGTGCTGGCACGATGACAAAAATACCATGTCTGAGGGGCTGACCCACATGGGAAGGTTCTGAGCTCACGTCTGGAGGCCTCCCTGAGTACACTGAGCACACATGTGCCCATGATCTGGGACTGGCTGGGGTGGGGGTATGGTGGTATCAAGATCCTTTTGAGGTAGTGTCTCTTTCTCTGTCTCTGTCTCTGTCTCTCTCATTTATAAAATAAACATTTAAAAAATGAATACAACCCTCTGACTATATTTCCTGCATAGGCAGACTGGCCCTTTTGCTCAGAAGTACAGTTACAATAATGCAGCATTTCTGGCATTGACACACACTCTGAATCAGTCCCAAAGTCCTAAAAGTCAGCTGGGAAATGATGAAATAAATCTGGATGTAATCCTCCAATACTGACATTGGTCAACCATTTAAAAATGTGATGTGAGGACCAGCAGGTGGCTTGGCGTTTAAGGTGCTGGATTCTCACAAGGCTCACCATGGTTCGAGTCTCAGACCTGGTGGCTTGAAAATCATGCCAGGCTTGTATGCATGTGTGCCTAAAATCCCAGGAGGAGAATGGAGGAGAAAGGGATTGTGGCGTGGCTATCACCCCTGGGAGCTGACTTCTCCCTTTCCCTCTCTCTGATGCGTGCATGCACCCTATGGCAAAAACCTAGAAAATAAACCCCAAGTTCGACATGCATCATGGAGGGAGAAATAGATTTATAGGTAATGAAATAAAGCTATTTCCGAGGTATGTTAATGAATTAAAATTTAATTCAGAACAGAGAGTATAATATGATCCAATTTGTATAAATTTAAATACTACTTAAAAAAAACACTAGGAAGTGTTGCTGGTGATTATTTCTGGCAAACAATATTTTATATTCTTGCGTGTTGATTAAAACATCTTGCCATGGTCCAATATTGTTCTTGCTCTGTGATCTCTGTAAATAATTTAATTAATTAAAAATTTCAAATCATTTAAATAATTGAATATTAATTAATATTTGAGTAAATTAAATGATTAAATAATTTAGAGTTGCAAATTTAACAATTAAACTAATTTAAACATGCCTCTTTTCTAAGCCCCCCTCCCTTCTCCCGATCAATATGCAATGCCCTCTGCTTCTGGATCCAGTAACTTATTTATCGTCTGCATATGAGATGCTATTCTTACGTCACATTATTTTTGCTGGCTTACTGTTTTGAGATATTTTGCTATAGAGCACATGTGCTTGCCAGAGAGATAGAGAAAGTGAGAAATCACCTCCCATTGGGGATAGCCACACCGCAATCCCTTCTCCTCTGTTCTCCTCTTGGGATCTGGGGCACACACACGCAAGGGTGTGAGTCCCAGGCTACCAGGCCCAAGATTTGAACCAGAGTTGGCCACGTGGGAGTCTAGTGCTTTAACCACTATGCCACCTGCTGACCTTGCTTACTAACTTCTATCCCACCTTATTTCAAAATGTCTGTAGTTGATTGCTTCATTCTATCATAAAAGTCATTGTAATTGGTTTATCAGCAGTTGAGGTGAAAGGGACCTAGAGACCATTTAACCCCTAATCTTACAGCACATATATATACATTCTCCTCTCGGGATCTTGGGCACACACGCACACGTGCCCAGCGTGAGTTTAAGCCACCGGGTCCGGGACTCAAACTGCAGTCGACTACATGGGAGCCCAGTGACATAGCCATTATGCCAACTGCTGGTCCCAAGCACACATCCCCCCCACCCCCTGAGACATTTATTTAGAAATTGAAAGGGAATAAATACTTAACACACGTTTTAATTCCAGGACAAAAGCCATTATCCTTGAGGTGGTAAAAGTTGGCTCCATTTAGAACTGGTTACTGACTTTCACTGGCTCTAACTGGCCTTTCTCCCTGCTCCTTGTGCGTTAGCTAACGTTAACCACTAGGTGGAAGCAGAGACCACCTCACTGGGGGACTCTTTCAGAGAGAGTCTGCAACCTGTTCATTTCATTATACAAAAGGGCCTCCGTTAGGGCAGGAGCCCATCTGCACAGGTGAGCCTTCAGAGCATCACCCCCTGGGGAGCAGGGCGGCTTGGGTGGTCAGTGAGGTTTGAACTTTTTTTTTTTTGGAGAGATTTTCACTGTAGGGCGCGTGCGCTCGCCAGACAGAGAGAGACATAGAGACAGAAAGCGAGAAATCCCCCCCCCGGGGGGATGGTCACGCCGCAATCCCTTCTCCTCCATTCTCCTCTCGGGATCTTGGGCACACACGCACACGCGCCCGGCGTGAGTTTTAAGCCACGGGGTCCGGGACACGAACCGCGGTCGACTACGTGGGAGTCCAGCGACATAGCCGTTACGCTAACTGCTGGTTCCCTGAACTTTTTTTTTAAATGTACTTTTTTGTTCCAAAAGCAAGAGAGAGGAGAGAGAGGGACAGAGAGAGAGATGAACAGCACTCCAGCAGGGTCCCAAGTGTGATCCACCCCCAGCTTCGGCCAGCCCTGGAGCAGGGGCATGCATGTGTCCAGGGCGCTCAGGGAGGTCTCGAGACACAACCCTGGGACCTTCCCGGGGTCAGCCTCACGCTGTCACTGCCAGCTTCGGCTGTGCGGGAGGGCGCCCGCACTCACCGGCCTGGGTGGACTTCCTCCGCGCCTTCTTGATGTCCTCCTCCGTCTTGTTGCTCAGCTTGATCTCCAGCTGCTGGGTCTTCATCTCCAGGTCTCTCTGCCGCTCTGTGAGGGCCTTCCGGGCCTGGGGGTCCAAGGACGAGAAGCTGTTCAGAAAGCTCAGAGCCGGGGGACCGCGTGGGCCTGCACCGGCACTGCTCTCGGCCAAAGTCTAACGTCTCCCTGCTGGTGGAGACGATGTCCGAGGGGCTCAGGGGCCAGGCAGCCGAGTGACGTGCAGACACTGCACCATGCCTCATCCCTCTCTCCCAGCTCTTCTGCACCTGGCCCATGGCGTCTCTCAGGCCACGTCTCACTAGGATGTGTGCATCGCCTGGTGGCCCTGGGCAGTGCTACGATCACCGTCTGTCGGCCACAAAGGCCATCTGGGTCACCCCCAGCAATGCAGCAGGCTGGCAGTGGCAGCCGCCCCACTCCGGAGCAGGAAGACCACCGCCACCCTGCTCCCCTCACACATGCTCTCCCCCTCAGTCCTCGTTGTGGCCTGTCCTCCTGGCCCCCATCGGCAGCTGCAGAGCCCCTCGGTGGAGGCAGCTGGCCAGGTCTAAGGTGCCCACAAGGGTACACGGCCCTCCCTCCTCCTCTCTAAGGCCATGGAGCCTGGCCCTGGGAAGCACTCGCTTCCCTCCAGGTCCTGCCACTGGCAGCTCCTCCCAGGTTGGATCAGCGTCCACAAAGACAAGGGTTCCTCAGCCTCGTGGGCCCATTGTGTCCCCACTGCAGTGTGGCCTCTCCTGGCTCCCCGGGCCCTCTGGGCAGTCATCCGAGCAACCCAGGCAAGCAGCTGCCACTGCCCTCCAGGTGGTGGCGGTTCTCAGGTGTAGGCGCGAGGCGCAGGCGTCCCCCCAAGGCACCGCAGGGGGCAGAGGTGCCACCAGGCACACAGAGCCACTGCAGGCTCCAGACCCACCCCTTCCGGCCCCGGGTCCCGCCCCTGCCGGGCATCCTGGCCTCTCACCTTCTCCACCGAGGCGTAGCGGCTGGCGAGCTGCTTGCGGAGGTCGGCGATGTGGTGGTCGCACTTCTTCATGTCTTTCTTGAAGTTCTCGCGGAAGTTCATCAAGGGCTTCTCCACCTCGCTGTGAAGCTGTCAAGGGGAGTGAAGAGACACACTCAGGACCCAGGGCATGAGCTGTGAGCGGTGGAGTGGGGAGAATGACCCCTCACGTCTGCCCTGCAGGCACGAAGGGGCTGTTGCCTTTTTGTTACGCTTCTTTTTTGTTTTGTTTTGTTTTGTTTTGTTTTTTGCTATAGGGCACGAGAAAAAGAGACAGAGACAGAAAATGAGACAGAAAATGAGAAATCACCCCCCAGGGGGATGGCCACACCGCAATCCCTTCTCCTCCATTCTCCTCTTGGATCTTGGGCACACACGCACACGCGCCCGGCGTGAGTTTAAGCCGCCGAGTCCAGGACTCAAACCATGGCTGACTACTTGGGAGTCCAGCGAGGTAACCATTACACCATGCATTGGTCCCAGGGCTGTTCCCTAACGGGTCTGGGACTCACAGGAAGATTAGGGACAAGTGGCCACTTATCGGGTCTTATTTGGCAAATCACCTTAGTGAGGTAGGTGCCACCCAGAGTCCCTGTCGCAGGGAAGAAGGGTTAGCCTAGGGCAGGCCCATGCCGATCAGCGAGCTCCTCCCTCCTCTACAGCCCACAGCTTCCTGTGAGCCCTGCTCAGGTATCTGGCTCTTACGTTCCAAACTGCGAGCTTCCGAGGGGCATTACCCATGTCGCCCATCAGCGTCCCCAAGCACTGAGCACGGTCACCGCTCCGTGCAGCTCAGTACCTGTGGTAGAACGGTGCCATTTAATCGGGCGGTCTCAGCTAAGTGCTGTTAAACCTACATTCCAGCTGCTGAGAATGTAAGGAGGAGCTGAAGCTGGCCCCCATCTCCAGGGACCCACGGGGCAACTCCCCAGGGCCTGCTGGAACCTCACAAGGGCAGCTCTCCCGGCTGCTCCCATGAGAGTTTCTGGGCTGGATGGAGATGCAGCATCGCTTCACAGGGTCTCCCCTTGTAATCTGAGGGCCAGGTCAGAGAAAGAGCTCTATGCTTTTCTTTTTAAAATGTCTTTCTGAGACCAGCAGTTAGTGTAATGGCTATGTCGCTGGACTCCCATGTAGTCGACCGCGGTTTGCGTCCCAGACCTGGTGGCTTAAAACTCACGCCGGGCGCATGTGCATGCATGCCCAAGATCCCGAGAGGAGAATGGAGGAGAAGGGATTGCGGCATGGCCATCCCCCCTGGGGGGGGTGATTTCTCGCTTTCTGTCTGTCTCTCTCTGTCTGTCTGGCGAGTGCATGCGCCCTATAGCAAAAACCTCTCCAAAAAAAAAAAAAAAGTCTCTCCTTTCCCTCTTTCCTTTCATCCTTCTGTCTTTCCTGAGCAAGAGACAGAAATAGAGATTACTTCCAGCAGGGTCCAGATGCCACGGCCCAGCCTCAGCCTCAGGAAGCCCTGGGTGAGTGCATATGCCTCCCCAGCGTGTTCACAGAAGTCTCCGGATGTGAACCTTGAGCCTTCCCAAGTGGTGGGCCTCACACTGTGTCTTACCGTCACTGTCACTGTACCGTCCGGCCCCTGGGTTTGTGCTCTGAGAGGAGTGGGGTGAAGTGGCTTTTCAAGCTTGTCCCTTCTCTGTCATTCCTGCCTTGTTTCCACCTTTTTTTGAGGTTTTTGTCAGAGGGCACGTGCGCTCATCAGAGAGAGACTGAGAGGGGAAGTGAGAGATCACCCTGCGGGGGATGGCCATGCTGGAATCCCTTCTCCATTCTCCTCCTAGGACGTTGCCCAGTGTGATTTTTCAAGCCACCAGGTCTGGGACTCGAACTGTGGTTGGCCATATGGGGAGTCCAGCACCTTAATCGCCATGCCATCTGCTGGCCCTTCATCCATTTTGAAAGAACTGTGTCTTCGACTCAGCTTCATGGAGCCTACTCCTCTAGTGAAGCTTCCTACAACCCACTGCCTCGGCCCCCCAGAGCCCCCAACTCAGCCTCCACCCATCCCAGAAGTCCCTCTGGGAGACACAGCTCGACTCCCCCGACAGGACAGACTGTGACGGCTCCCGTCCCTGCTCAAGCTGAAAAGTCTTTTTCTCTGGACGCCGAGGACTCAGGAGTTTCTGTTCTCATCAGCCCGCTCACACATGACTGTGAACTCCGAGAGGGCAGGACAGGTGTCCTTGTCTACTTGTAGAGAGAGTGACAGCTCTTCAGAGCCCTCTCCCTGGGTGACAAGAAGACAGCACTGGTGCTGACGCCCTTTGAGGACAGAGAGCTGGCCATCTGAATGCCCCTCTCCGGTGTTGGCTCTGAGTGTCCCTAATGCTCACTGAGCCCCTGGAACTGGTGCGGAGGAGAACAGCCCCACCTGGTGGCGGTTTGTATGATACTGCAAAGTGGATACGGGAACCCTGATCCCACCTCAGGTGAGGTGCTGGCTAAGTAACCCCTGCATAACTTGGGGAGCAGGGCCTGATGGGAGTCTGAAGGTCACTCAGCCTCAGCCTCAATACCCTGAGGTTTCTCCTCAATACCCTGGCAAAGCAAGTGACTGCCAGACTTCAGTGTCCCTGGGAGTGACCTGGGGAAACTTAGCAACATTCAAGATTCCTGGGCCCGGACCCCAGGTCCTGAGGTCGGGGGAAGGGCAGATGAACCTAGGAGTGCACCTAAAGGCTTTCCCCAAATTCCACTGCCATTTTGAAAACATAATGCTACCTCTGCCAGAGGTGACTGGGTTCCACAGATGAAGACTCGTGCGTTCTCCAACTCCCTATATGGGGCGGGGGGGGGGGGGTCTTAGGAAAGTTCATGGAAAATGTGTATTATGAAAAAAGTACGGGGTCAGGTGGTGGCTGCCACTAGCCTCCTAGGGGGCAGGTCCTGGGCTTGTGAGGACTTCCCTGGGCCTCCCAGGCCCGCTAAAACTGGGGGTGGATTGTGGCAAGACCCTATAGGGGTGCCTCTGCCCCATCTCTGTCTCTCTTAGGGAAGAAATACACAATTAAACTTTTTAAAAAGCTGTGGTTTTCAGTTTTGGGATTTTGTTTTTTGTTTGGGTTCGGGACCAAAATAAACTCATACTTTCAAAGTCCCCTCCTATATATGAAGTACTTTTTAGAGCAGCATTATTTTCTGGAAAAAAGATGGCATGGTGTCCCTTAATCCTCCTTCGTAACTTGCGTGCTCTCTGTCGAAGCAGGAGTCAGTCACCCTGAGCCTCTTGGGCTGGCGCGTCTTGGACCAGATGGGCCAGGCCACGAGAACCCACCCACTGCCCTTTCTGCAACTCCTGCTGTTCTTGCCTCTTTCCTCCCTCCCCTCCCACGTCACACATCAGAAGAGAATAAGAGTTATTCAACTTGGGAGGAGTTTCAGTGACTGTCTCATTAGTGTTTTTCTTTTCCTCTTTTTAAAAAAAACTTTTGCCAGGGGGTGCATGCACTCACCAGAGAAAGACAGACAGACAGAGAGAGAGAGAGAGGCACCCACCGCGAGGCACCGTTACATTGCAGTCCCTTCTTGCATCTTGTCCGTATTTCAGGATTTGGGCTGGGCATGCACATGCACTCAGCATGTCTTCCAAACTGCCAGGTCTGGGACTTGAACCACATGGCTGGCCATGTAGGACCCAGCTGCCTTAAACTGGCCTGCTGGTTCAGTAGTTTTCAAATGGGTGGCTAAGACGTGTGAAGTCAATTTAGTGAGCCAGGACCAATTCTTTGGTGAGAATAGAGCAGACTGCAGACCAGGTAATATCAGAGCTCCTCCCGGGTAAGAGGATGAATACCATTTCCTGAAGCATTCGTATTGGTGACGTATGCGTGTGAATTTGTGGGTGGGGAGTGGTCCCGTGGTGTGTGGACCTACGTGTCTTCTGGGCGACCATGTAAAACATATTCCTGTGGGTCACAATCAAATACGACCCAAGTTGCTGGCTGGATCCCTGAGGACCCTGGGCACACATGTACATGGGATCTAGGGCTGGCTGAAGCTAGGGATTGGTCGTGACATCTAGGCTCTGTTAGGGATGCTCTCTCCCTCTCATGGAAGAAACATACTTTAAAAAAAAAAAAAAGAAAGAAAAGAAAGAAACAAGTCCCTGTGATTTACAGGCCACTGATGAGAAGACGAAGGCCCCATCAGAAGGGAAGGTGTGGGGATCAAGGTCCCTGTTGCTCAGCCCTGCCTCCCCGCGCCCCCCCAAAGCTGAGTCCTCTGAGCTCTGGGACCCTGGGCTCTGACTTCTCTCTGGCCCTTCTCATTGGAGAAATGCAGATGCCACCCCACACGGCAGGTGAGCAAAGCAGGAGAGATGCACCCTGCTCACAGCCGTCTGGAACAGAGGTCCCCACTCCTGAGGCCATGGACAGGCACTGGTCTGTGGGCTGTTAGGAACCGTGCGCACAGCAGAAAGTGAGTGATGGGAGGGTGAGCAAAGCCTCCCCTGTATTTACAGCCGCTCCCCAGTGCTCACGTCACTGCCTGAGCTCCACCTCCTGCCAGACCAGCGGTGGCGTCAGATTGTCATAGGAGCGTGACCCCTACTGTAAACCTACTGATAGACTGTACACGCTCATAAAACTTGCCCTTTTCTGGTCCATGGAAAAACAGTCTTCCATGAACCTGGTCCCTGGTGCCAAACACATTACAGATGGCTGATCTAGAACATTCTGCCACCTGTTGCAAACTCTAAACCAGAGGTTCCCAATCCTGGGGCCACTGACCAGTTCCGGAGGTACAGCCATACACCCATGAGAGTGGCAATAAATGTGATGCTCGTGAATCATCCAGAAACCATCCCTCCACCCTGGCACATGGAGAAGTCATCGTCCACGAAACCTGTCACTGGTGCCCAAAAGGTTGGGGACGGCTGCTCTAAAGAGCTGAGAACCAAGGACCCTGCTCTGGGCGGAAACGACACCAGCATTCCCAGGACCCAGCAGCAGGGACCTTGCAGAGGCTGACAGGGCTGGCACCGGGCCCCACTGCACCACAGGGACGGACCGCCCGCCCCTTCGCCAGTCCATGGAGGTCTCTGCGCTGCTGGGTGGACGACGGAAGGGAGACGTGGAGGGAGCCACTCATGACCTGCGGCTGAAGAACCACCTGCTGCTTTGCATGCAAGGCAGGAGCGAGAGCAGTTCACGGCTCCCTTCTCTGCTGGGGCTGAGTGGCAATTTCCCTGTGAAGTGCTTCCGTGAGCCAGGAGTTCTCACTCACGTCTGGGTGCCACCTCTATCCCAGGCCCCACCACCTTTAGACGCGGGAGCTGGTGACTGCACATTCTTCCTCCCACCCCAGCTCTTCATCGGGCTCCTTTGCAGGCCTGAGCCACTCGGGTTGCTCATTCTGGCCCTTTGCATGCAGATCCCCATCATGGGGTGGGGTGGGAGACCTGAGTACAATGACGGGTGCTCGTCCTCTGAGAGTGCACATCCCTCGGGACCCCCAAAGCAGGACGCGGCGCTTGCAGAAGAGCTAGGACCAGTGAGTGCTGACTGTGGGAGCCTGGGAAGCAGCCATGCCTTCTGGGGATGCTACCTTCAAATAATAAAGATGGCAGGCTTGGAGAGTCCAAGGCCTTGACCCAAGTGTCCTCTCAGTCTGCTGTGTACCACCAAGGACAGTGCGGGGAGCAGAGAGAGGAGAAGCGAGGCTAGAGTCCCCAGGATGGTGCCAATCTCAAGGGTCTCTCTTCCTTTAAAAGACAATCATGCCTGGGGCCAGCCGATGGCATGGTGGTTAGGGTAGCTAGATCCTACATGGCTGACTGCACAGTTCGAGTCCCAGACCCTGTGGCTTGAAAAAACATTCTGGGTGTGTGTGGGTGTGTACCCAAAAACCCTGACAAGAGGAGGAGGAGGAGGAGAAGGGATGGTGGTGTGGCCATCTCCCATGAGGGATGCTTTCTCAATCTCACTCTCCCCTGGTCTCTGTCTCTCTGGTGGGCACATGTGCCCTCTAATGAATTAAAAAAAAAATTGGCAAGCATACTAATGGACAGCGCTATCAGTCATGCACACTTTAGTATGAATTATTTCACTGGCATATGATGTTTATTTCTATTACCTAAAAGGTAGCTGAAAGCCTGAGAAGGAATCTGGAGCTAGGAGCCAGGGGGTAGGGACATGAGGGTCAGGGAAAATCTTGAGAGACAGTAGACCTGAAAAGGCTGGGTATGGGAGGGTCTAGTCAGAGGGCACCATCCATCCATTACCTCTGAAAATATTTATTAAGCATCGCCTGTATGCCAGGCACCAGCCTGAGCACCGAGGGTAGAGTGAACAGGACAGAAACCTCTCTGTCCTGAAGCAAGTCCTGGGTCGGTGGCTTCAGAAGCAAATGAAAGGGGCAACTATCTGCTTTGAAATGTTTTAACCATGGGCAATAAAAAAAAAAAAAAATCCAACATCTATCCTTTTGGTTAGGGTCAGTATTTTCCAACACTGAGGAGACATACACTAGGCTAACCTGTTTCTTTGAAAGCCCAGCAGAGAGAGAGTGGGGTTCCCACATTTGGGCTTGACCTGAGAAACCTAGAGGTTCTTCCTTCACCCCACCGAGGTGTGCAGACTCCAGCTCACACTCGTTCCCAAGAGCTGAATGTTTAGTAATTTTGTGAGTTGATTGTTAAACACCGCCATTATTAAAAATTCAATGACATAAACTTACAGTTAAGTAAATACATTAAAAATGGGGCTAGACAGCAGTGTAATGAGAATGCATTGCTCTGCGGGGCTGAGCCCACAAAGGAAGCTGTCAGGTCTGAGGACCTCCCTAAACACAGGGGGCATGTACATATCTGTGATCTGGCCCTGGCTGAGGCCGGGGCTGGACCCTATAAGGGGGTGCTGTCCCTTTTGTTCATAGAAGAAGTAAATAAATAAACTCGATTCTTAAAAAATCATGAAAAGTAACACATACTCAGCACTTACCACTTCCTAACTCTATTATATATGTCTATTATTCCGAACTGGTCATTTATGCCTTTGTAGCTGCAGGGTGAGAACACTATCTAATGGTGTACCGCTCAGCATCTCTTCCCAACTCTCTGTATTCAGTGACTTCCTGTTTGTAGCTTGAAATTTACACCACAGAAATTGGCCAACGCTACACACTGGAGAGACCGTTGTTAACCATTTATCAGCCCAGAGAGACCCAGAAGGGCTGCAGGGAGAAGTTACCTTGGCGGAGAACTTGAGGTGAACTTCTGCCTCGTCTGCAAGGCTCTTCTTCACCTGGGCCCACGCTTCTCCCAGGGAGCTGTAAAACAATGGAGATCGTCAGACTCAGGGACCCTGGAGAGAGCTGCCCCAACCTCAGGTCTGACGTCACGGCTCCTCCTGAGGTGGGAAGGTGGGTCTCAACTTCATGTCTGAGGCAGGACACGCAGACCTAACACACAAGCTTCCGACTTGAGTAAGGCAGATGCCAGGTTCAAAACAAACACAAGCATCGCATTTCAACCCCCAAGGCCCGATGAGCCACCAAAGCCAAGGTGGGCTAGCCTTAGCCTGGAGCTAGGAGAAGGGACTGCAGCCTCGGCCCAGTGGCTGGGAGATAGCCAGGAACCCAGAGGCTCACGAGGACCGGGCAAGGTGCAAGAAGCTGGTGGGTGTAGCCCCAAACCTCCGCTGCAGTGGGGGGGGGGGTCTTAAGACCAGGCCAGAGACTATCCCAGAAACCTTCCCATCAGCCCTGTTTGCTGATGAGGAGCGCGAATACCTGCTGGAAAATCGAGGAAGGAATACAGAACTCTTCCCAGGGAGAAGTCCTTCTTGGGTGGAAGGTACCGCAGCCCTGCGCGCAGGTGAACCCCCAGGTGCTGACTCCCTGTGGGTCAGGGGGCCTCTTGGGCGCCGCTCACAGCAGGGGGGGCCTGTGCTGCTTAGGGTGGGCTGGCGGCTTCGCTGGACTAAGGAGTGCCTGGAGACCAGGTCAAGCATCACCCCGGGTGGGTCTGCCGGCCACTTCCAGAGGAGATGACACGCGAGCCTGAGTGGCCCAGGCGGGAAGACCCACCCTCAGTGTGGGTGGGCTCGTCCACTCCACAGGCGCCCGGAGAGAATAATCAGGGAAGATGGATGGGCGTCTTTGGATGGCGTGGGTCGACTTCTGCTGCCTCGGACTTTAGAACTCCTGGCTTTCAACCTCACACCGGACCTGGTCTCGTTCCCTGCCCCTGCGTCCTCTGGACGTGGACTGCGCCCCATGACCAGCATCCCAGTCTCTGGCCTGTAGGGCAGTCACTGTGGGACTTCATAGCCACGGGAGCAAATTCGCCAGGAAACCCCGTCCTGTCTACCGCCCCCTAGTGGTCCTGTCTCCGCAGAGACCGTAATGCACTCCCATCATCACGCTCAGGGTCAAGGCTCCCCTCGAGGGCTCAGTCTGGATCGCCAGCCCAGAGCCGCCACAGCTGAGCAGAGAAAGGCCGAGTCCTCGAAGCTGAATCACTTCTCCACTCCAGGGAGACCTGCTTCAAACAGGAGCAATCCGGAGTCCTGCAGACTCCGAGGCGGCCCCGTGTTGCGTTCCTCGCCCCTCCGAACCCCACTCTCCTGCCCTTCCACACGACACCCGCTTCCTTACATGCAACCGCTTCAACCCAGCCTGGAAATCCAGGCTGCGTGTTCATTTAACTTCATTTCATCAGAAAGCCACTTCCCTCGGAGAATTCATTCCACTCGAGTGGCAAAAGCTGATTAAAAGCCAGCGTGCTGCCAGGCTTGGGCGTGGGCAGAGCAGCCCGCAGTGAGGAACTGCCCGGCAGAACAGAATGGACCACTCTGACCGCTGCCCGGGCCTGCCCTGCTGGCGCTGGCGCTGGCGCTGTGGGTGTTGATGGGAAATGACCGGCTGACTGCATCTAGGATTCTCCACTGGGAGTTCAACCAGAGAAGAGAGGGAGTGAAAAACGCGGCACTCTAAGCTGTCGGCATTTGTCCTCACCCGGAGAGCCTGAGCTCCGGGAAGCTGTGCTGAGGCCCTTCCCATCCTCGGGTGGCCGGGGCTCCCCCCTGATTCAACAGGTGGGAGTCCGGGGAGCAGTGTGTAGGTGGACGGAGGCAGGGCTAGCAGGTGCTCAGACCTCAGGAGCCGCAGAGTCACAGACATGGTGGGTTGGTGTGCTGCAAGGGAGCCAAGGTATTCCGATGGGAGAATGGAGGGACTTTTTAACGAATTGTGCAGGCGTAACTAGATAGCCACAGGAGAAAAAGAAACCTTGACCCTCACCTCATGACACACACGCAAATGATCTCAAGATAGATCCCAGCCCTCAAGGGAAAGTCAGCATGATTCAAAGCTTACAGAAGCCATTTCTAGGTGAGGTGGGAGCTTGCTTAAATGAAGGGAGTGGGGCTGGCTCTGTGGTCTAGTGGCTAAGAGGGCTGACTGTGCAGTTCCAGTCCCGGCCCCGGCAGCTTAAGAAACAAGCTGGGTGCATGTGCATGCCCCAAATCCCAACAGGATGGAGAAATGAAGAAAAGCGATTGCAGTGTGGCCATACCCAATGCAGAGATTTTTTTTCTCCCGCTCCCTCTGTCTCTCTCTGGTGAGTGTATGCCCTTTGGTAGCTTAAAAAAAAATAGAAAAGGGCATGGGGAAGGTTTTGCGTGTGCATGGAGCGACATGCTGCAGCCCATGGGAAGTGCATACAAGAGACTGAGAAACAGAAAGACAGGGCCAGCAGGTGGCGTGGTGGTTATGGTGCTAGACTCCCACATGGCCGACCACAGTTTGCGTCCTAGACCTGGTGGCTTGAAAAATCTCTCCAGGTGAGCGTAGGGGTGTGTGTGTGTGCGTGTGTGTATGTGGGTGGCCCAAATCCCAGAGGAATGAAGGAGAGGAAACTGTAGTGTGGCCATCCTCCCCCAGGGGCTGACTTTTCATTTTCCCTCTCATTATCTCTCTTTAGTGAGTGCCAAAAACCTTAAAGAAAAAGAAAAAAAAAATGCAGAAAGGCTCAGGTGGGGCCCAGAGTTTGCGTGAACACGTGTCCATCTACAGAGCTCCGAGTCTTTGCAGCAGCGAACGTAGTTGTGAACAGTCCAGGGATAGCCGTGTGGCTGACGGTGTCATTGCAGGAGGAAAGGACAAGGTCCTCGGCCCCACCTCTAGGCTGGGCCTTCCCAGGTAGGAGGGCATGACTGCCAACATGCAGATACCCCTTCCGCTGGAATGTCCCCACGCATGCCTCCCCACTCCCCAGCATTTCAGGCCCTGGGAGCCACCTTGCAACTTAGAAATGTTCTTACTTAGAGGTCAGCCCGTGGCCTGATGGGTAAGGGAGCAGATCCTGCATGACTGACCACGTGGTCTGAGTCCCAGCTCTGTGCTTGAAAAACAAGCTCTGTGTGTGAGTGTGTGTGTGTGTGAGTGTATGTGTGTGTGTGTGTGGTCTCCAAAAATCCTGAGAGGGGGAGAAATGGAGAAGGGATTGTGATGTGACCATGCCCCACTGTGGGGGTGCTTTCTCCCTCTTCCTCTTGCGCTCACTCTCTTAAGGGAGCACACACGCCCTTCAGCAAAAAAAAAAAAAAAAAAAAAAAGAAAGAAAGAAAGAAAGAAAGAAAAGTTTTCATTTATAGAAAGATTTTTTTCATCTGATAAAAGGTAAATGAAGGGGACCAGCAGTTAGCGTAATGGCTATGTCGCTGGACTCCCACGTAGTCGACCGCAGTTTGTGTCCCGGACTCGGTGGCTTAAAACTCACGCTGGGCGCGTGTGCGTGCGTGCCCAAGATCCCGAGAGGAGAATGGAAGAGAAGGGATTGCGGCGTGACCATCCCCCCTGGGGGGTGATTTCTCGCTTTCTGTCTCTATGTCTCTCTCTGTCTGTCTGGCGAGCGCACGCGCCCTTCAGTGGAAATCTCTCCAAAAAAAAAAAGTTAAATGAAAAAGAAAAAACAAATCTGAGATATATTCCTGTCCCAACATAGTTTGAGACATGCCAGATCAAAATGTGTGTTATTATCACAATTGCCAACCAGGAAAAACCAAAATCCCATTTCCTTTCTTCATCGGAGAGAGAAACCGAAGGCAGAAGAAATCATCGGATTCCATCTATTTACCAGTGTGCACACGTCCTGTGAAATCCAATTTGGACACAGAACTCAAGTTGCAAAAGCCCCTCAAGTCTCCCTGTCCAGCATCTTCCGAGACGGCCCCAAATCTCTAGGCTTCAGCACTGCACTTGGAAAACCTTCCGAGGCGCACAGGGTGAATGTCCAGAGCTGTGTGTAAATGCAGAACAACGTGGGTGTGCCTCGTGGGGGCGGGAGGGGCGAGGGGCCGGGCTCACCCCCCGTGTGTGCTGTGACAGCGGGGTGCATGAGGTTGCTACATGCATGCCACGTGAAGGGGTCTGTGATACACACAGGTGAGCGGCATGAGGCGTGCGTGTGAGCCTGCGTGGTGACTGCCGTGCGTGCACACGTGCATTTGCGCACGTGGTGGCGCAGGCCTGGCTCGTGGAGCTGGGCTGCTCAGTCGGGAACATATGTTGTGCGTGCTGGCAGGACACAGTGTCCCTGGCAGCAGCCCAGGCCGAGGAGGTGGAAGCAGGAAGAGTCCGCGCTGGGGCTGCAGAGCTTAGGGAGACTTAGGAAGCCAGGGCTACTCCCCTACCGGCCTCTTGCTGCCTCATCCAGGCCCGGTGTGCAGAGCGGAGGGGGGCCAGGAACTGACTAACCTCACTGACATCCATGCGAGTGTCACTGGCCCTGCTGGAGAGCCCTGTGGCCTGTGGCCAGCGGGGTTGCTGAAAACACTCCGAGGAGGCCACTTGGCGGCCCAGTTGGCCCATGTGGAGTGTGTTAATCAGAGCCACATTCGGTTGGCAGAATCACTGTCCCTAAAGGCGTTCAAGCCATGAAGGCAGATTTGGACCTGTTTAATATCACAGCTCTCTGACGACCAAAAACCACCCCATAATAGGACGTCCTCCTGCCTCAGGCGGGATTCAAACACAGACTAGCACTGGAGGGATGATGGACTAAACAGAGAACCTCTTGGGGCCCTTTCAAATGCAAACCGCCTCAGGGCCTTTCCTATTTTGAAATTGAGGCGAAAGTCATATAACATAAAATTAGCCATTTCCATGTGAACGATCCACAATTAGAACATCCCCAGCGCTGTGTAGCCTCCACCTCCATTGGGTTTCCGAACACGCTCATTACCTTGTTAGAGAATAAAATTGCGTCTCCCCAAAATCCATATGTTGAAGTCCTAACCCCCAGTGTGGCTGTTATGTGGGGATCTGGGCCTTTAAGTAAGTAATTAAGGTTAATGAAGTCTGGGACCAGCAGTTAGCGTAATGACTATGTCGTTGGACTCCCATGTAGTCGACCGCGGTTCAAGTCCCAGACCTGGTGCCTTAAACTCACGCCGGGCGCATGTGCATGCATGCCCAATATCCTGAGAGGAAAATGGAGGAGAAGGGATTGTGGCATGGCCATCCCCCATGGGGGATGATTTCTCACTTTCTATCTCTCTGTCTCTCTCTGTCTTTCTGGAGAGCGCATGTGCCCTATAGCAAAAACCTCTCAAAAAAAAAAAAAAAGTTAATGAAAGTCACAAGGGCCTTGATTTACAAAATTAGTGTCCTGCTAAGAGGAGATTCCATGTCTCTGCTACCCAGCATGCACTGAGGAGAGGCCACGTGAGGGCACCTAGAAGGAGGCCATCTACCACCCAATGGGAGAGCCCTCACCAGACACTAACCCTGTCGACACTTTAATCTTCTCAGCCTCCAGAACCGTGAAAAAATGAATTTCTGTAGTTTAAACCACCCCGTCTCTGTTTTTTGTTATAGCAGCCTGAGCAGACTAACCTATCCCAAAAGGAAATCTGGAACCCATTAAGCAATCACATCCCATTCCCCTCTTCCCCACAGCTCTTGACAACCACCCATGTACTTTCTGGCTCTGTGGATCTGCCTGTTCTGGACACTCCGTATAAATTCAATCATACAACATGTGACCTTTTGAGTCTGTCTTTTTTCACTTTGTACAGTGTTTTTGAGGGTCTTCTACATAGTAGCATGTGTCAATATTGCATCCTTTTTCATGGCTGAGTAATATTCCACCGTATATCTGTGGGTATCTGGTGTACATCCACCATGATTTGTTTATCCATTCATTCATGGATGGTACTTGATGTGTGTCCACGTTTCAGCCATTGTGAGTACTGCTGCCATGGACATGCCTGTACCTGTATTTGTTTGAGTCCCTGTTTTCAATTCTTTCCGGTATAAACCTAGGAGTAAAATTGCTGGGCCATACAATAATTCTCCACTTAGCTTTCTGAGGAGTTCCATGCTGTTTTCCACAGTGGCTGTACCAGTTTACATCCCCACCAGCTGCAGATGAGGGATGAGGCCCTCTACTGATGCCCAGCACACAGAAGGCTGGTCTTTCTCCCGCTAGGAATCCTTCTGTGGCTGGGAAGGCAGGGCTGAGTCTCCCTCCCTAGCCCAAGATCCATCCAAGGAGGTGTGGACTGTCACAACTGGAGTAGGTGGTGGGGTGAGAGCCACAAGAACGAGCTCTAAACCAGGGCCTGGGGTTTAAAACTGAGAAATCCCCTCCCGCTCCGTTTCTTCCCAGCCTGCCCTGGAGAAAAGGGAACTGGGGCAGCGATCTAGAGGGTTCTTCTCAGCCAGGGAACAGGGCGGAGGGGTTCTGACACACTCGGGCCTCTGGCAGGAGGCTCCTGGTGGTTAGAGAGGGGGTGATGGGGAAGCACCCCCCTCCAGTACAGATGCCCTCGCTGAGCCGTGGACTCCCACCTTGAGTCCTGGGTTTTCGTGAACCCTGAGTGCTCACCTTGAATCATGGTACCCCCTTGAGTCATGAGTGCCCACCTGAGTCATGGGTGCCCACCTGAGTCATGGGTGTCCCCTTGAGTCATGGGTGCTCCCTTGAGTCATGGGTGCCCCCTTGAGTCATGGGTGCCCACTTGAGTCATGGGTGTCCCCTTGAGTCATGGGTGCCCGCCTTGGGCCCTGAGTGTCCACCTTATGCTAGGGACTGGGAGAGTCCCCATCCAAAGTGAGCCTATGCCACTTTGGTATGACGGACACCCTCCCATGACAGATGTCCTTCCAGAGTGTCCCTTTGCCCTTCCCCCCTCCTATCCCTCTCCTCCCGACTCACCCTTCCTCCTGTGCCGCCAAGGAGTTCTGAGAGAGCTTAGCTAAGTTCTTCGCGTATTCTTCCTCAATCTTTATCCTGCGAAGGGAGAAAACGCACACGTTGGCTTTCCAGGCCTGGACTGTGGGTCTGGCCCACATCGTGCCACGTATCGCTGTGTAAAGGAACCCCCCCCCGCCCCCAACTGGGAGCTCTGAGCGGGCGTGGCTCTTGTCGGTTTGCCTGACAGGTAGTAGGTGCTTAAAAATCCTGATGAATAAACGAA